TCGGTCTCAGTAATAGTTTCGGCTCTCAAGTTGATTAATTCGATATAAACCATTTGGAAATCACTGACAGTCTCTTATAATTGAAACCGAAAAACCGACATTTTATCAACTGAAACTTCTCGAGAATTCATTTTTCTTTTGTTTGTATATTCTATTTCTAAGTTAGCATAGAAAAAGGCAAACCACTTGCGGCACTTAGGTCTTGGCCGGGATCGAACCGGCGACCTTCTGCGTGTGAAGCAGACGTGATAACCACTACACCACAAGACCATTATTGACTCGTCAACATTGCCTGATAAATCGGCAGAAATATCTTAAGTTTCGCGACATTATCATCTTGTTCAATTGTGTTGAGTGATTTCAGTGATTGAAAGTTGCCGAAAAGTACTGATTGGAAGTGTTGAATAGGAAATGTATGATGTCATTTCATTTCTGCATGAGAACAATTGGCGTTATTGGATATCTTGGAAACGATTACAATTTCGTTTCTTTTCTCTCACATTTACTACATGATCTTGTTGCACGATCTGCCACAAATATCAGCAAAATGATATCAAACTATTCTCATTATAGCCTTTTCAGGAAAGAATCTTTCTGGGAGTTTTTATTGATGGGTGGTAATATGTATATCATATTTATAATGTATGTGAAGCGAATAATGTAGATCACTTCCAATTATTAATTATTCATAAAGAAATCAAAAAAAGAACTCTTCGCTTTTTGCATCAATTGTTCATGCTTTCTTTTTGCCTGAAATTTTAAACAATTAACCATAGATAAAATAGTTCATACCGAAATTTTTAACTATTCTCTATGGCTTCTTGTCAGATATATTGCTACAATGGAAACAGAAAATGATTTTGAAGAATTTTTAAAGTTTTGCATTACCAAACTAATAATTTTCTCTATCTGGAGTAGATTTGATGAATGCTATATCATGGAATCCTTAATTACAACTTAATGACAAGTTGTTATAAAAGATTATCTGTACTATACCTTTTTTGGATCCTTTCTTTCTCTTGCCTGCAAAATCAGGATTATTTGTTGGAAATGCGTGAAAAAGAGTTTGGAACAAAATCATTTTTAACCTAATATAGGTTAAAAACCTAATATTTTTAACCTAATATGAGACCATTAAATTTTTTCGCAATTTTAATAATGTAATATCTTAATCGAAAAATAAATCAATCGTCTGATTGCAAATGATTTCATGAGGAATTGAGAGAGAAAAAACTCGGTAAAAAAAAGGAAAAAGATAGCCAGTTCTTACTTCTCTTCTTTTTCTTGGGTTTATCTTTAGCTTTGGAATCTGTAGATGGAGTGCTGGAATCTGTTGGAATTGTCCCACCCGTTGTCATCGCTCCGCTGCAATCAAATTTACTTTTATTCTTTTACCACTGACTATGTTAGAAGTGTCACTTAAAGATTGTCAAATATCATCTTTTCTTTCTTTTAAATTGATGATTTGATTTAATATGAATTGATTATTGTATTCAACTAGTAAATAAAACAGATAAACAAACCTCTGTGAACTGCTCGTTGATACAACTGGCTTAGGTAACAATAATTCCTAAAATTTAGATAAAATAAATTACAAAAATATGAATTTTCAATCTTTTAATAAAAATTTCGTTATTATCCCAATTTTAAAATTGTAAAATCATTTTTACCATTGCAGTATGTGCATCAGTTGGCGACGTAGTCAGAACTTTTGCAGTGTCACTTGTCGGTGTTATGGTTTCTGGTTGAGACGATGGGGCCGATGTTTCTGGTAGTCCAGGGCTCGCAGATCCCGGAGTAGATGATGGTAGTGACAAAACACCTGAGGAAGATTCAGCAGGGGTAGATGGTGATGAAAATGGTAATGGTGGCTCGGGTGCTGGTAATGCGGACGGTGGCGGTAGTGGCGGTTCGGGTGGTTCGGGAACTGACGATGCAGACGGTAGTGGTGGTGGCGGTTCGGGTGGTTCGGGAACTGGCGATGCAGACGGTGGTGGTGGTGGCGGTTCGGGTGGTTCAGGAGTTGGCGATGCGGACGGTGGTGGTGGTGGCGGTTCGGGTGGTTCAGGAGTTGGCGATGCGGACGGTGGCGGTTCAGCTGGTATTGACGGCGATGGCGGTGGAAGTGATGTTTCAACAGGCGGAGCTAATGGTTTTGATTCTACGGATTCCTGCAGAAAAAAATCTTAAGCTATAATTAAGCAAAGAGTGAAATGCTCTTTTATCGTTAATACATCTTCCAAAAAGGAGAACAAATAAAAAAGTGGGACAACAGGTAAGCAACGCATTATCTTCTACTCGATAAAAATGAAAAGGAATGAAGTTAGTTTTTTTCGTAACAATTAAAAAGTATTATATCGTCACCTCTTGCGTTACTATGGTTGATGGCGTGACACTTTCTGATTTGACCATATCAACCTCGCGTCGAAGCTAAAATAATTTAAATTCAGAAATTATAAACTACGCTTATCTTCAAAATATTGATTGAAGTGAAAATTCAAAGCATTCATGAACTGATAATTAGAATGCAGATGTTGCGATAACAGATTATAACTTTTCCATCTTACTCATTTGTCCTCGAAAATCACTTCTGTACATGTTCTTAAAAAGCCTCACTGAGTCAGATTGTACTATCTTATTTAACTAATTAATAATCTTAGCATGCAGTGTCTCTCTCTCTCCCTTTTTTTTCCCTCATTTTTCAACAAAATTTCAGCACAACTTCGCTATATTATCTAGAAATTTCCAAGTCCATTATCCAAAAAAGTGAAGTTACAACTTGCAATAGGACAAAAAAAAATTAAAAGATATCAAAGTAACAATATTCAGCTTAGAAAATTATTAAAGCAACTAAATTTACTGAGCCTACCTTCGAAAAGTTAAAATACGCGAAAGCAGCAACAATCAGCAAAGCAAAAATTGCAATAATTGACATTTTGTTACGAGCAATTATCGCAGACAACTGTTTCCGCTACCAAAAGTGTTTCAACTAACTGACAATGATACTGTCTGAATAACATTTATAGGCTGGTTGGCAATTCCAAAATGCAAACTTCAATAATTTCCGAAAATATTCAAATTTCTGCTATGTTCACAAATTGTTCCTTTCACAGTAATGTCTTTTTTTATCACTCATTTGTTAGAATAATGTCTAAATTTACTTAATTTTATGTATTGAATATCCTCTTCTTTTCTATTTACTTACCAAATGTTCACTCCCGATGGTTCTCGTATTTCACTCCCGACAGTCGTTCGTGAAATTTTTGATGTTTCACTTCAAAGATTGCTCATAAAGTTTCTGATCATATCAAAATCAATTTCTGCCTTATCTCTCATCTTTCTGTCTGCAGGAAATCTGTGATGAGCTTTTATACTAAAAAGACATTCCTGACAGGCTCTTAGCAATCTTTTTCCATTGCAATGAAGAAGTTGCTCGGATGTTTCAGCCATGCTTGCAAATAAGCCTAAAGAAATTTGATAAATAATTAATTAATACTTCCAGATAATTAATATTTCACTCACCAACTCTCGTGAAATATTATTCAAACAACGATAACATAAGTAAATATGAAATTCTCGAACCAGAGAAAGAGACGAGCAGATATTGAAATAGCATAGGATTGATGAGAGAAGTAGACGCAGGAGAATGAAGAAAGAGAACTACGACGGAAAAGGAATATTTGAGAGTTTTCGCGAAAATTTCTTGGCTCTTTTCAAATAGAGAAAAGTGGTGGGGTGGATGGTTTTGAGATTGACTCCATTTTTTGGACATTTTTGGCTAAGACTAACTTCTCGAGTCACTTCTCTTCATTCAAGGGAAACATTTGAAATGATTTTCATTAGGATAATCGGTGATATAATTTGCACGAGTAATATGAATTACTCCGATAATTTCCTTTGAATCGGATTTGAAACTCAAACTGTTACTATCTGATGTTCTTAGAGCAATTTCAGATCAAGTATTTTTTGATCATCTATGTGAAAACAACTCTATTTATTCTATTATTGGTCAGTGTTATCAGAATTAAAGATCATGATAATTTGAAGTCGGATTTCCTAATGATTTATTTTACATGAAATAGACATATCGTTCATATTTATTTTTTTATAAGATCGATGACAACACCATCATCGGGTGCTTATCTGAATCAGTTCATAAATGCTAACTTTTACGGTAATCCATGTCTACCACATCGGAATCAATTGAACCATTATTGCTTTGGAGAGAATGTATCATCGAACGTGGTCATGGATACGGTATTTTTGATTTAATTTTTATATTCTTTGTAGAATTCAACATGTTCCATTGATAGGAAGTTTTCTGAACATAGCGTAAAGCATTTGTGGTACTTTTGTTGATATCAAATATTGTTCAGAAGTACAGATCCAGGGATGTTATTTAAGTCTTCAGGAACAAACGTACGCCAGCGAGATCGCCGATTAGAGGATCTCTCATGTAATTTGTCTTTATGTCCGTAGTAAGTGAAGTTTTGCGGTGAACACATCAGTGCGGTTAATTATCTGATCGGCCTTAGCATGTAGGCGGAGGGAATATGGTTCAATTTTTATTTTTATGTTCACTTTATATCCTCATGTGTTATGCCTTTCTTTCCGTCCAATGTATGATATCATTTTTTATATGATATCATTTTCAGGTTGGAATGGAAATTAATGAGGAGGATGAAATAGGGTTCGAAAAAAGTTACTCAGATATACAAATTGGAAATTTAAAGTATAATTCTCGAAAACGTCGTTTGCTTTATAGAGTAAGTCTTTTCTGAAATGTAGTGTGTTGATACATAGCTAAATTCATTAGTGGAATTTTTATTATGAATAAATGAATGCAGTTACTTCGACTCACCATTTTTCATCGTATAATTGTTTTATAGAAAATTCACTTCAAAGTCTCATATTTTAGCTATATAGTGATGTTTGTTGTAAAATAAGAATTTTTCTATTCACCACAGTTGTAAACATTCAGCTATAATTACCGCCAATGAAATAGTACTAAAAGTTAGCAGTTATTTGCAGAATGATGCGCCACTGTGTAAGAGAAGAATGGAAAAAGTTAGTGCTCGTTTGGAAAATTTTCACATCTCAAGCGATCCCGGTTCATCAATACTGAATTCGAAAGATAGGTATTTGCTTTTCGACGTAATTTTTCTTTTGTTGTATAATTGCACTATTTCTGCAAAATTTCCAGAACTTTCTCCAAAGCATTACCACTTCACGTCAGCGTTGTCATTCAACGTCTTAGAAAAGCTCAGTTTATCCTCGATGTTTGTGGAACACGATTAACAATTTTTTAGACAGTATTTGCTATATATTTATTCATAATTTAGTGACTCAGAAGATACCGGTGAGGAAGATATCGAAAAAGATGATGTACTGTTAATTCTAGACGAGAGGCTACGGAAATATATCGAGCATGAGCGTAAAGCGCCACCTATTACCATTAGCAAGTGCGTTTTTTATTCCACTAATTACTCCACAAATCTGTTTGCAAAACTTTTAAAATCAAATATTTCTTATCTGTTTTTGCTTTCCATGTTGTATGAATTTCACTGATTTAGGTTTACATATATTGACTCTTGCACGCTCTATTTCATCCTTACCTTTTTTTCAAAAAAAAAAAAAATTCTTTTCTCAGATATTTGATTTAACCTAATATTAGATTTAGAAATCTTCATTAGAAAACATGTGACCAATGACGGCTTTTAAATCTAATCAAGGCTCCCTAATCGGCTATATTCCACATTTGTTTTATTTTTTTTTAATTCACATCTCCAAAAATTCGAAAATTTTTAAACTTTCCAATCTACGTTTTCAGTCCTTTATCGACGGCCTTAGTACCTTATGTGCCGCGCATATCCTACGATAATCTAACAATGACTGGACGGATCAAAGAAATTGATACTGAAGATGCGGTAGGATATGAGTCAAATGACAAAGGTACAAACTAATTTTCGATTTTTTAGTAAAAAATTTCTGGATATTTTCAGCGAGAAACATGGGTGGAAATATCATTTTGCTATTTTCTTTTCTAGGTCTTGTTACTTTTCCGGATGATACGGACGCAGCAGAATCGGGAAATTGCTCGAATGAGACGATTGCTCAAAGCACTAAATTGCCGTCTTCTATAATGAATGTCACGGAAATAGACATGGATGTACAGGACGATGCTGTTATGGAAATCGATAGTTTATAGATGGATTGTTCTTATTTTTCCTGTTCATATTTCCGGCAGATTATTCGACTTTGTCTATAATTATAATGATGCATTTTCTGCGCAGTGAGATTAGTTTTTCTTTTAGTATTTTTACTGAATTGTATGTGTTGCATATTAATCTGATTTCAATCAAATTGCATCTTCTTTTGTTGCTTTGGGATAGGCTTAGTAGTATGACCTTATTAACAGATATAGAAATTATTTTTTTCGCAATCTTATTTTCCAGGAAAGAGTTTAAAAATTAAAGATTAAAGAAGCGTTTGGCTCATTTCACTTCATGATAATTGAAAACATCTTTTTCAGAAGGTTTTTTAATATTTTGTTCACTTTATTGAGTTAGTTTTATTTCCTTTCTCATTTGTTTTATTGCTAAGTTACAAGAAGCTGGTTATAAAGTTTATGGCCTTTTTTTATTTTTCAATTTACTACAGAAATAAAATAAACTTAAATCTCACTCACTCCATTCATGATGTCTTTTTTACATTTGGATTATTTAATCGATTTACAACTGTATTTGTTTTGATTGTATGACGTAGCATACATATCGATGATACTTAAAATTGTGAATATTCATGTTATTCTTGTTCACTGTTGTATCAGTGATGAGCTATATGAATTTATCAGAGTTTTCGTTGATCAACAGATTTCTTTAAATCTTTCAGAAATTTATTGGGAATTGCATTAGTTCCAATTCTCAAAGTCATTTCTGAGTTTTAATGTCATTTTACAAAATCATTGTCTGCAGATGTTTTGCATGTACAGGCCGGTTATACCAATCATCATGAAAACGGTGTATTTTTATATTTTTCTTTTGATCGGAACGGAAATATTAGTTTGAAGCGGTGAAACGCCCTTCAAATCATTACAAAGAATGAATTTCTTTCTAGTTGTGAAAGAAATAATAATATGTATTCCAGATGAAATGTTGAATTGCTGAGAACCTGAAATAAACTTAAACAATTGATTTGGTTATTTTAAAAAACAATTTCTCTTGTGCGGTCGTTTTCCAGTTCGATGTGAACCTATATTTGAAACTGGCAACTTTCATATGATATGTTAGGGAGCAATTTTAACATAACTATTACTGTTTGTTGAAGATTGGCCGCTGACATTTCTTCAGTTCGCTTATTTTTTGTTCCTTTTGACTCAGGATTCGATTGATTCCTTTCGATGTTTGTAGAGATAAGTGTTAAGAAGTGATCGTTAGCTCGAAAATCTGGGTTGGTGTATAGTGTGAAGATTATAAACTGTCAACTGTAATGATCATAGCTTTATTCTCGCTTTCACAATCGTAATCACCAAAAAGTTCCTTAATAATGAGAGTCATCAAAGATCTCTGGTCGATTTCCAGCTTTTACTTACTGTCGCTGAATTTAAGCCCCGATCTCATAGCAATCGGGCTATTGAGAGCTCTTTTTCTGTTTTAAAATATTCTTTTAAAAGGAAGATATATCTGCCATGAATATAACAAACAATGAATAAAGTAATAAGCTAATTATATAAGTAGAATTCTGTCCTTATTCAAGAGTAATCATATTAATGATTATTAACCATTGCAAGAGAGTGATGCTAAATTTACCTGCAGCAGATCTTGTTACCAGATTTTCACTCAATTTTGATCTCATTTGCTCTGAAATAATTTTGGAGAAAACTTTAGGGATAAAGAAAAGTTCATAACAAAATCAGTGGGAATGTGTAGGATGCAGTTGAAAATTTTTCTTAAGATTTTTCCAATGAAAAGGGAGATTTCTCTTAAAAAGAGAATAGTCTCTACTGATCGGAGTAACTGATGGAACGAAAATATCCACCCGGAAAAGCATATTGTTGCGCTTCTTTTGGTCATTTACAATATTAACACTTCACCCGAAATAACCCGTGCATGAATATTGAAGATTTTTGGAATCTCAATATATGCTTTGTCTCCGATTTGCCCTACTTCACTGGGAAAAGAGAAAGTGACAGAAAGTCGTTTCGATAAGTTTTGGTAACCGTGAATTCATTTCACTTCTTTGGCAGACAAAAGAAGGCGGTAATGGCCGCAGCAGCGACATCTAATTTATCGCAGGCTGCTGCAAGGGCACTGACTACGCCAACCGATTGTATCATTGCCTCCAAGTATAAACTGCATCGAAAAATTGGCGCCGGGTCCTTTGGGGATATCTATTTGGCTGTCGTTATTGCGACTGGAGAAGAAGTGGCTGTGAAACTTGAATCCAGCAAGGTTTTTTGTTCAAAATTTCAAAATCATTGAAGCTAAAAATGTTTTTTGGTTGATTTGGTCGATATATTTTACCGATATCGGGATTATTCAGGAATAAAGCTAACGGAATGGTTTTGCTCTGATCTCTTGCATTTGAATAATTTCAAAGGCAAGGGATCAGAGCAAAACTACTGCATTAGCTTTGTTTTTGAGGCTTCAAAAATTTGGAATCAGTTTAAATTGTTTATTTCTCCGATTTAAATGATTGTTTCAAAGAAGAATTGGCAATAATTTTTGAGTTTTATTTACTGTCATTCGGATAAAATTTTTATTTGTCATAAAGAAGACATAATGCTAATAGGGAAATATTTGCAGGCTCGTCATCCACAACTCCTATACGAAAGCCGAGTTTACAAAATTTTGCGCGGAGGTTTTGGTATTCCTCGATTACGATGGTAAATATTTGCATATCACGTAGGCACTTTTTGTAGAACAAAGATCTCTATATTTCGGAAAAGTTTCAACATTAATCTTTTTCTCAATAGCAATTATGTCATTCACCAGCTGAAACGGAAAATACGAATTATATAGTGCAGTGGAAGTAATTGTACCGTTGTTACAGAAATAAATGTAAAAATCAATGTAATGAAGAGTAGAAATTATAGTACGCCGTTATAATTTGAAGATCGTATCCAATTTTGAGTATTTAGATTAGCGAAAAATTTTGTCCCATTCATGACATTTTATAATATGGTCTTCTTATTTGAACTGTAGTTTCTTTTCTTTATGGAGGGTCAAATGAGAAGTTTAGTCGGAGATGAACTGGAATTAATCGAGAGCCTGCAGACTTAAAAATTAATTGATTGCATCTTTATAAATGAAGGATATGCTGAAAAACTAGTCTGTATGGGAAAAATTATCTTGTTTTGCTTAAGTTTAGAATGATTATTGGAAATACTTGTTAATTTTTGTTCTAAAGGTATGGTACTGAAAAAGATTACAACTTATTAGTAATGGATTTATTGGGTCCATCTCTTGAAGATCTGTTCAATTACTGTAATCGTCGATTCACAATGAAGACTGTTTTAATGCTCGCTGAGCAAATGATAGGACGTATCCAATTTGTGCACATCAAAAATTTCATACATCGGGACATAAAGGCTTTGTTTTTTGTGGTTTTTGTTCTTTTTTCTCTTTTTCTTTTTCTATTTTTTGCTTTTAGATGAGGGTATACTGACTCGTTTGTTTATAAATACTTCTGTATTATTTCTCATCACATTGTTTTAAAAAGTTGGATCAACTAAAGATTAACGATATGTGAGTTTCTTAACCGCAAAGTCCAATTTAATAACGCAGTTTTCTTGATGATTACAGCAAAAATTTGGTAAATTGTAAAGAATTTGTATATTTTGCTTTGTATGTTGCTCTGTATTATAGTTGCATATAATATTTTTAGCCGGACAATTTCTTGATGGGTACTGGTCGGTACTGTGATAAATTATTTTTGATTGACTTCGGCTTAGCAAAGGAATATTGCGATTCTCGGACTGGTGCACATATACCTTATCGTGAAGACAAAGTTGGTATACTGAGAACTGTTTTATTGAATTTTAATTATCCTTATTTCCTTGACTGCGAAAAATTAGTTCAGCATCTAACGGGAACAGCACGTTATGCATCGGTCAATGCACATCTTGGAATTGAATTAACACGAAGAGACGACATGCTGTCTCTTGGCTATGTACTTATGTATTTCAACAGGTCTGAATGAATTATTTCGAAAATAAGTTTTTTATTAGAATTCGTAGTTTTTTTATCGCTCATTTTTTCAGATTTAGAGCTTGAGATTATATATGCTCTTTGCCTTAATTTTTGTTCATAAAACCAAAAAAGATCAGATTTTTTTCGTGCATTTTCTTACTCCTAATTCAATTTGTGTAATGATTGTTAATCATTTTCAACTTTTTCAGGGGTTCTTTGCCATGGCAAGGGTTAAAAGCAGTAACAAAGAAACAAAAATATGAAAAAATATGTGAAAAGAAATTGACTACACCTATTCAGGCACAATTTTTGATTTCACTTATATTACTGTTCTCTACTTCCATTACTAACGGTTTATTGTAATGTTAGATAAACACTGAATAAGTAATGTTGGGAGCTGGAATAGAGAGATTGCTTAAAGACTGTCCAAATCATTGATGGCTTGTCAGTAGATTGATGAGTAAAATAACGATCATGAGTTTTCTTTAAAAGTTTCTTATATCGTTGTGATGTTGAAATAAATCCATTCATAATACGCATTTCACCGATGACCTGATAGTGCTTTTTAATTTCGATGTTTGACATTTGACATGGTAAAAAACTAAAATACTGCTGAATATTCTGAAATTTAAAATTATTTTTTAAGGTTCTTTGCAAAAGTTTTCCAATCGAGTTCGCAATGTATTTTTATTACTGTCATAAATTGCACTTTGATGAAGCTCCCGACTATGCATATCTTAAACAATTATTTCGCACTCTGTTTAAAAAACTGAATTATCAGGTAAGTGATGTTAGGCATTGCCTCATTTTTCACTGTGTTTTGTGTTTTAATTTCCAAATGCTTTTTTCTCCATTTTTGGCTGTTCAAAAAAAATAAATTTTTTCTTGTTTTGCTTCGTTCTTGCTAGATAGCGGTCTTCATGGCTTATTTCAGTACGATTACATGTTTGATTGGACCACACGTAAGCAATGGACAAAAAAAAATACGGTTTCTTCGGCTCATGTATCAAACGGGTTACCAAAGAAGGGTATGGAAGGGGGAAATAACCTTGATCATTAAAAATTTCAGCTCAAAATTCACTTTGTAAGATGAATTTGCTTTTCTTCTTGTCTTTGCATTATTTTTTCAACTAAATTCATATAATCTTAGTGTTTAAGATGCATATTTTTATTGTGTATATTTTATCTTATTCTTGTAAGTCATGTAACGGGTTCACTGTAATTTTTCACTAAGCCATCGAAAGTTCAATAGTCGATGAAGACAACAAAAGTTGATGGTCATAAAGATCAGGTTAAGAAAATAGAAAAATATCACCTACTACTGATTTGTTTTTTTTAATTTAATTCTAAATTATATAAGAAGAGAATATAGTCTATGGAATGGGAGACTACAAAAGCTCCGTGTAGTAAGTCAGATTTGCCTGAAACTTTAGAACATATTGAATGCTGTATGAGTTTTTGTTGATTGATTTCTTGTAATGAATTATCTTTTAGGAGAATTTCGATTAAATGTTTAGGAGAATTATCAAAATTGTTGATTAGTATTGACTATCAAATTCTTTGTATTGCATTTTTCCTTTTCTACCTCGCCTTTTTGTTGACTACTCTCTATGAATCAGAAGCTGATAATGATAATGGTTGCGATTTTTTTATTGTCTTTTATTATAATTAATTTCCAATGCCTTCTTTCAAAATGTATTCGTTTTTGTCATTTCTTGGCCATAGATTTTTCTATTCCGACCTCAAGTATCTAAATCAAAACTATACAGCAAATAATAACTTTCCGTAAAAAATTTGAAAATTACGAGTGAATGAAATTTCTGTTTGAATGGGTAATCTCATTGTTCTTTCATAGATAATTTTGATTGATTCAGACTTTATGACTATATTTCACTGTAAAAAATATATTTGTGAAAGAGTAAAAATTGATAAAATTTCTTAATGTATTACTTACTCGTAATTACTTCTCTCTTAGCTTATATTGCAAATTTAAGTTTGTCCAACTTCTCTCTTAGCTTATAATAAGCAAATTTAAGTTTGTTGAACTATCATTATATTTGACACATCTATAAAATCTAGGACTTCATACGACAGAAATGCATATAATGGAATAGATGACAATGAACTGTGACAAAACAAATAGAAGCCTTACTGTTTAGTACCTCTCGGTGGGTGTGATGAGAGTTTGAATTTGCTCAACTCGAGAGTGGTCTGAGTGTGGGTGCGCTTGTGGAAGGCAAGATCAGGAATGGATAAGAAGTACAACAATTACGATTTCGTAGACCAAAGGAATCTGCTTAATTTTAGCTGAAAAAAACTCAAGTATCATTTTGATAAAGTGATCTTTGAGTAAAAGATATTTCAATTTTGCTGCAATTTTTTTGGTAGTACAATAAGAGACGGGTATGCAGAAGCCGCCAACCTGGCTTTGTAAAGCTGAAGAGAAAGCAGATTTAGACGTTGATTGCAGCTCAATGAACTCATTCCCGAATATCTGTCAGTAGACCGAACTCCACTCTCGAAACATCGCGACACTTTATGTTTCCGCTACTCGTTGCATGCTACACTGCGTTGCGGTTGCGTGCGCGTTGTTAAGAGATATTACTGTGGTTGGGCTGGTTATAATCATATTTTGGGAGTTCTTGAACGGTCGGGAATTTAAGTGCTGGTGAATTGGAATTAGGGCGATGTCATTGCTTGGTGGGTAATGCAATCATAATATTGTCTCATAGAAATAATATAGAATTTGAGGAGATACGCTGTTTACATAGTTTCAGCTTTTCCGATTTCATCGATTTTTTTTACAATCGAGAATGTTTGATTTTAGTATTTGTAAAAAATTTAGACATTTTTCTCGAGACTAGACTGCATGATTGATTGAATTTGATTGTAGCGAAAGAGTCTCTTATATTTTACACATAAAATTAATGTTAATAGTAAATTATGTTAGATGTTTATGTAATACTGCAGTAGATTTTCCAATCTTTAATAGGGAGGAAGACAGATCAGAAGCTCATTCATCTGACGATTTTTAAGCTATTATTCTTTTTTTAGCTAATAAGGATAAACATTTCGCTTTTTGAGTTGAAAGCCGGTAAAACTGCTGGACGAGTGAGCGATGTTTTTTTTAAAGAATAATGGAGTGATAATTAAAAGTTTATGTTATAGTTAGAGTAGTTATGCAGAATTTTTCTGAGATGAATTGCTCTTTCATCGGATCGGATAAATTTATTTAAAGTCTGATTCCGTTTATTTGTTTTTCTAGATTTTTAGGCTGGAGACTGTGAAATCTTACCTGCTCTTATTTATCATACAAAGGAATTCCGTGTGAAATGTATTCAGATTTATGTAAAAATTTGAATTATATATTATTTTAGGCCCGAGAATGGCGGGCGTTGCTACCAATTCTCGTGATTTTATCGTTGCAACGAAATATAAACTAATCCGTAAGATAGGTTCTGGCTCGTTTGGTGATATATATTTGGCTATAAATATCACAAATGGTGAAGAAGTTGCTGTTAAAATGGAATCCAACAAGGTTATTCAAAAAACTATTTGTGCCAAGCTAAGTTTGGGACAGGAGAATGAGTAATGATATTTTTGGCAAAAATTTGATTTAGAAAGAAAAATTCAAGAATTACGAAGTTTTTTTAAAAAAACAATTTTCAGGCTCGCCATCCACAGCTGCTTTATGAGAGCAAAGTATACAAAATTCTGCAGGGTGGAGTTGGCATACCACATATACGATGGTCAGTTATTTGATTATTTAATGTAATCGTATTGGGAATTTATTTATTTTTGTTGAGTTCAAACATCAAAAGGGTGAAATTGGACATTTATTTTGTGCACTTTTACTTAATTTTTTTAAAACAAATTCGTTTTGAAGTCTTCTATCAACATTTTTTTTAGGTATGGTACGGAACGGGAATACAACGTTCTGGTGATGGATTTACTAGGTCCTTCATTAGAGGATCTTTTCAACTTTTGCAGCCGTCGTTTTACTATGAAAACCGTTTTAATGCTAGCTGATCAAATGATTGGACGCATTGAATACGTCCACGTTAAAAACTTCATTCATAGGGATATCAAGGCAAGTTACCGGAAACATGTAATCAATTCTGGTCGAAATTTTGCTTTTTTTTACATTTTGAAGAGTCGAAGCAATAATTTTTGTCTTAGATAATTGCTCAGATAACATATCTATAAATACTGTGGAATATTTTAGATAAAGTAAAAAGTTGCAGATTGTTTAGTAGAAAAGTATTGATTTGAAACTAGTACTGATTAAGAAAAATAAGCAGCTAACACTTTTTAGTTATTATATTTATCAGTTATGATAGTTTTGATTTGTGTAATTTCAGCCTGACAATTTCATGATGGGTATAGGACGACACTGCAACAAATTATTTTTAATTGATTTCGGTTTGGCCAAAAAATATCGTGACTCACGTACGCGAGCCCATATTCCGTATCGAGAGGATAAGGTATCTGCAGAATCATAATTGGTGAAAATACGGGGATTGTTTGTTGAAAATATTTGTTAGCCAAAGTTTTATTGTTCTGTTATACTTTTGTCTAAAAAAAGTAAACAGCTGAAGCAACTAAATGGTAAATTCAGAATTTAACCGGAACAGCTCGATACGCATCAATCAATGCACATTTGGGCATTGAACAGTCACGACGAGATGATATGGAATCGCTTGGATATGTTTTAATGTATTTCAACAAGTTAGTTAAAATCCAGATTTGATTGGCATTTTTTGATTTCCGAATGTCGTTAAAAGAAATAGTCATTGAAATCAAAAATTTTTAAACTGTTGTAGAGGAACACTTCCATGGCAAGGTCTTAAAGCTGCAACAAAGAAACAAAAGTATGAGAAAATCAGCGAGAAAAAAATGTCTACACCTGTTGAGGTAAGTGCACAATGGTATGTGTTCAGCGAGTTATATCATTTCGCTGCATTTTCGTTATTTGGATATTTTTGTTGTATCTTCGTAGCGGCGAATTGATTAGATAAGGGAGATCTAAATAATTTCTGTGTATTATAGGTGCTTTGCAAAGGATTTCCGGCCGAGTTTGCTATGTATTTAAATTATACTCGCGGTCTGCGATTCGATGAGGCACCAGATTATATGTATTTACGGCAGTTGTTCCGCATTCTATTTAGAACTTTGAATCATCAGGTACTTAAAAGAATTGAGCTTCTTTCACAAAATTATCTCGTAGATATATAACAAAAGAATGCAATGGAATGGCTTTCCCATATGCTGGGATCGTGAAAATTTTCTTGCGTAGGAGCGAGGCAAAAAACGATCCCTCTTTGCCTTTTCCTGAGGAATGAAATTATCTTTTACCTGAACGATTGAAATCGAATGCAGAGCGCCATTATTTGCAGTATGATTATACATTTGATTGGACGATGTTAAAACAGAAAGCGGCGCAGCATACGGCAGCGGCGCTTGCATTGGCTGGTTCAGGACAAGGTGGCGCGCAATCGGGCACTGCTCCAGGTGTCTAAGAAAAAATGCGCTAGTTTACTGGATTTCCGAAAATTACGAAATATCCAGTTATTGATTGAAAAGTGTTTCCGCAAAATTTTAATTTCGTCTGGAATTTTATCGTCATTCTTTGCTGATGTTTCACACGGCGTAGAATTTAAATTCAAATCTGATGATTTTATAAAGCGTCAACCTCTCAGTAATTTGAAGAGTGCAGGACTATTTCCAGAAAATTAGGACTACGCTGCAAAATTTAATTTTATGAATAAAGTGATCGTCAGACTTATGTTAACTTATTAGGAAGTGCTCCGACCGGTTGTATAACAATTTTTAAGACATACTTTGGTTAGAGATTTAAGTCATACTTTCTGCATTATATAAGATAGCCTTTTCAATTAAACTGCAGATATCATTTACCTGGGCACCCAATATAGTTGTTAGTTTTAACCAACAATCAAAGATTTTTCCTTAAAATCGAGTTAAATTTCATCTTAAAAAACTTAGAGAAAATCTTAATACAAGGCATGTTACCTCTATTGTATAACCAGCTTCAGAAAAATGTTTTTATTCTTTTTCAAATTTTATTTGACCAGGTGAAGATAATGTAAGGTCCCATCGCAGTCAACTGAAATAATCAGAAATTAACATTGAGATAGTTTTTTGTTTACAGTGGAAGTTATTTATTTATGTTTTTTCTATTTGAAAAACGAAGAAACTTCGTTTGCCGTATATGTCGTGATTGGATGTAGAATCAACTTTTCTTTTGTCTTTTTTATTTTCTCATTGGATACATGTCAATATGTGGAGAATTTCTTTAATTGCTTGTGAAATATAAAGAATATGAAATATAATTCATTTTTCTCATGCTAAAGGAATAGAGTTTAAGTACAGGCATTATTTGTAATCCGTTGTAAATAAAATTCATACTGGGACCATTGGTTTGGGTCTTAGGCTCATGCAGGAATAACAAAATGGTGATAAGTCACAGTATTGAGAATTTTTTATTGTTTGCAAGATATTTGGGAATTTTCAGAACTTGATGCAATAATTTATAAAGTAAGAGTCGTAGCTTGGACACTGTATTTGTCCAATCTCAGAATACTGTTTATTAATTACTACTAAAGAAATGATAGTTAATGAGATTTTTTGCTTTTCCAAGTATTTCCTTTAAGGAAATGCTGGGAACCAATAAGTTATATTTCTCTGTGGAGCATTAGAAAATAAGTACCATTATGTTGAGATTTGGAGATCATTAGGGGGTGAATTCCTGTTACAATGTGTTAATTGGTGAGCTTCTATTGCAGTAAAAAAAAAACTTCACTTTTAAGCTTTACAAGTTCTATCAGAGCACAAAAGTCAGTTGTATCGTTGAGTTTTCGAGTAATCACTCGAAAAACCTCATTTATACATTTTTAGTTCTGAAATCTACCCGTGATCCTTGATGAAAGTCGGCGTTAGGAATGATAATTTTTACGCGAATTATGGAAAGTGTCGTCTACTGAATGAGGAACGATCCAAGAAGATCTTCATTGCTGTACGCCATTCGGATAACCGTTATGTAGCTGTAAAATTGGAAGAAATTTCTTACAAAAGACAGAGTAAATCAACAGGCGAGGTAGTTGATGGCATTCGAGTTTATTCTTCTTGAAATTAGGAGGATAATGGAAAGAATTTCCAAGCTTACTATTTTTTATTCTTCAAAGCTCCACGAATGAGTGTTAACTAATTAGCAATGAACGAACAATAAATTGTTCTGTAACAAAGCTATTGTAATAGTTTACTTTGATTACAGAATAATAATTAAATCGATCAACTGTTTAAAATGAGCAATTACTTTAATGTGACATTTCAAAAATAAACTCACACTTTTTTACTATGCTGGAAAAAAATCCGAAATTTATGACAATTGATTTTCGATCCATAGAAGTGTCGAATTGATTGTTTAAAACATAAGGCAGTGTTTTTTCATGTAATGTGTTCTTCTGGGAAAATGATACTTTTGCTGGATTTTGTCCACAAATGAAAGGGCACATAGTATTTACCAAAAGATTTATGAACTAATCATTAATAACATTCTGTTTTGATCAGGGAAACTTTAGTGAACAATTAAAAAGGTGCAACTGAGGCTAATAATTTTAACTGTATTTAAATTTACCTTAAGAATAGATGAGAGGCGAGTAGCATTTTGTTCATGGAGAACATTTTTGGCTAGAAATGTTCTCATACTACTTATAACTATTTTTTTGCGTTTGTGATGAATAAACAATTGCATGTTTGTATAGAGTTTACAATTGTTAAATAATAAATTATAATTGATTTAAAATATACACCGAGTAGTAATAGAAAAATATTAAATTTATTAGAGTTAGAACGTAGAGTTGAAGAAGTAATTGATTACATTTTTATGATGTAAGCAAAGTACTGGCCGACCTGAACAATTATTAGATTGGAGAAGACAATTTAATGATTGTATCTCAATTTGATAGCAGTTACTAATTTTTCCTATACATTTTAAAAAGTTGATATTCTAAATGCAATGGTAGTAACATTCCTTCCTTGACCTTGAGAAACATATTGGATTACTTTCATGGTTTGGTACTTAATAATAGTTTAAAGATTTACTTTCAAAATTATTCCATTTTTTATGGAAATTTGATTCTTTCCTCATTTTCTATTATACTATTAATAATAGTTTAAAATATTGTCAGTGGCAATAGTATCCTTTATCGTCATTGTGCACTAAATTATAGCTATTCCCATTGCCATTATTCATAAAATTTAAACGATGAAGTGCATACTTTAGTAAGTTGTTGAATGTAAAGTATAAATATATTAAGATTTCAATCAATACAAATATGAAATGGAATAGGTGACTTTCTGCTGGAATTTTTTGCTTATTTTCTATTTTAAAACGAATTTTCATGACTATTCAATCATGAACAAAGTGAGATAGTTGGTCAAGCCTTTATAATCTAATTATTGGAAAGTTACCAGTTGTTAATTTATAATTTCAGCTTTATTTTTCGCTTTTGTCCGTATCACATCATTTCGTGCTGCTATTTGATTCTAAATTTATCATAATTAATATTTCTTAAGTTTTTCTTTGCCTTTCCTGATATTAGACTCATCATAGTCCAGCAACTATCACAATTACAACCTTTTTTGT